TCCCCAGGTGGAGCACTTAACATTTCTCGACATTGAACTTCATCTGGTTCTGACTCGCCCAACTTGCTAGCCTGTCTAGATCTGCTTGTATCTGCTGCCTATCTTCACGCTTCCCCATAACTTAGTGTCATCTGTGAACTTGGCCAGTGAGCTCTTCACCCCCTCATCCAAATCGTTGATAAAGATGTTGAAAAGTACAGGACCAAGCACTGACCCCTGCAGGACACTGTTGCCCACTTCTCGCCAGAGCGGCACAGATGCGTTCATTAGGATTCTTTGGGTCCTACCCAGTAGCCAGCTTGGCCAGCTTAGATTAGCCAACCTAATCATCTTGCAGTTAAGTCCATTATCTTCCAATTTTCTCCCAAGAACATTGTGGGATACCAGATCAAAGTCTTTTTAGAAGTCAAGATATACAATATTCACCACTTCTCTCGTATCCAGGTGGTGAGTTACCTGATCGTAAAAGGGGATGAGGTTGGTAAGACAAGACCTGCCCATGAGGAAGCCATGCTGGCTGTAGTTCAGAATCCTATCTCTTGCAAACCTATTGTACACAGACTCCTTAATGAATTTTTCCAGGATTTTACATGGGATAGAAGTTAGGCTAATTGGCCTCTAGTTGCCAGCGTCTTCCCCCCTCCCCTTCTTGAAGATGGGCATGACATTGGCCCTTTTCCAGTCCTCAGGGAACTTTCTGGAGCACCACGAGTTTTGGAACAGTTTTGCCAGGGGCTCCGTGATGATGTTGGCCAGCTCCTTCAGCACCCTCGGATGAAGTTAATTTGGTCCTGCTGACTTTTATGTCTAATTTCTTTAATTGATCACACACCAATTCTACGGCTATGGTAGGAAGGCAGTCATTTCTGTACCTTATCCAGCACGACTTCCCTCATGGCCCAGTGAAACACCGAAGCAAAGTAGTCATTCAGGAGTTCAGTTTTCTCCTGAGTGTTGGTAACCAGCTGTCCTGAGTCGTTGAGCAGTGGTCCAACACTCCCATTAGCTTTCCTTTTGTTCCCTATGTACCTAAAGCAGGAATTTTTGTTGTCCTTGATTCCCGTTGCTAATTTAAGTTCAGTCACCACTTTAGTTTTTCTAATTTGTTCCCTACGAGTGTGGGCCATTGTTGTATAGTCCTCCTTGGATCCTGTCCCTAGCTTCCATTGTTGGTACACCTCTTTCTTCTTTCTAAGAAGGACCATGATTTCCCTGTTTAGCCAAGAGGGCTTCCCAGCCCTTCTGCTACCCTTTCTCTGCATGAGAATGGACTTCCTTTGTGCTTCAAGGGTCATGTCCTTAAGGGGAGCGACCACTCTTCATGCACACCTTTTGCCTTTGGTCCCTGGTCTGGCAGCACTTGCCCTACTAGTGACCTGAGCTTGTTGAAATAAGTTAGGGAAGAAAACTTACAAGGGAATTCCAGGGATGGCTTTAAGTGAATGCAGTATAGGTGAGGTTTCTCCAGGTGAAAGACTTGTTCACTGCTTGACCCAGTTTTATTCTCAGATCACCATCCTGCGTATCAAATGAGGGTAGCATTTTATTGTGTGTGGCGGGGGAAGAGCATGCTCATGCAATGAAAGACTATATGTGCATTAGGGCTGTGTGAAGCTTTGGTTGCTGATTCGCTTTGGCGGCCGAATCTCTGAATCGAATCAGGAAACCCTTTAACCTCTTTGAATCAACTGAATCGACTCGGAGAGATTTGATGATTCGGACATAGAACCAGCCTTAAATGTTTTTTCTACATACCTCAAGGTACCAGGTGGCTCGTGAACACTGAGATGCTGGGGCAGATGGAGCATTCCACGGGAGTGTGGGGGGGCTCAGCGCGCTTAGCAGCAGACCCAGAAGTGGACCAGAAGTACTTCCAGTCCACTTCCAGGTCCGCCGCTGACCATGTGGGGGACCCCTACCCCACCCCCCTGTGGCTAATCACCAAGCTGGGTGGGGGTGGTCCCCTGCATGCTTGGCAATGGGCCTGGAAGTACTTCCGGTCCACTTTCGTGTCTGTTGCTGAGCATGTGGGGGGGGCCTCCCTGTGCTCCTTTGAGACTCTCCATCCACCCCACCATCTCAGCGTTCACGATCCATGCCTGGTACCTCAAGATATGTAGAAAAAACATTTAAAGCTGTGTCTATGGCTGAATTGCTGATTCTGTGAATCAGCATCAAATCTTCAGATTTGGATTTGGCCGAATCGAATTGGGACTGTGATCCGAATCAACAGATTGAATCGCTGTCCCCTGATTCAGGCAGAATCTGAATCGAATACGGCCTGCTTTGCACACCCCTAATGTGCATGTGTATTGTAGAAGGACTTTAGGTTAGGGCACTACTTCAGTTTTGTCTTCCTCCCCAAGTTACCAGATGTCAACTGGATGTTTTCCGGATAACCCTCCAATTTAACGAATCTGGTTTACTGATATAAAGTTCAAAACAGCAGTCTCTCACTGGCTTATATCCTGTCATCGGGGTTTTGGTGGTCTCCCTGTTGAAGCTTTCCTTCTGGCAGGCTTCTGCTCACTGTAGGTTTTAGTCATAGGCCTTCCATCTCGGGGCTTTGTAGAGTTACTCATCCTAGACCTCCTCACAGGCCCTCTTCTGGTTGTTTCTTCTATGGAGCTTCCAATTTTTCACTTCCTGGGCTCTGATGGAAGTGCTGGTTTGCCTTTAAATCCTGTCCTGTTGGGAGGTGTAATCAAATGCCCCTTGTGGGGGAGAGGCTGCACCTGGGCACAGGTGAGACTGAATCCCAAACCTCTTCAAGGGGCCTATTCCCCTGTGATGGAGTGGAATTGAATTTGCTCAGTTTTGGTTCTATCTATTGAGAGCTGAGATTTACAAATTTAGTGATGAAAACAGTTTTAAAGCCCTAATATTTCAGATTGATTTTCTTCAGCTTGCTCTTGGGGGAGAAAAATACCTGCAGCATGGAACCGTATGCCTTCCAGTATTACAAGCTGGACTGGAACATTTAAATCCAGCACGTAGGCACGGGCCACTTGAACTGAGCACTGGTGGTAGCATTAAGCTGTTTTACTTTTTGAAGTAGTTATGAGAATGGGATGAATTGTATGTTGTCAGTGGGATTCGTAGATATTTTCTAGGCAGTGAAGAAATACTGAGATTGAGTATTCCTGGAGTTTTATTTCAGTTTTTTTAGAAGAGTGGGTTTTAATATGGGCAAAATACTTTCTAGAAATTACAGGTGTTACGCTAAATATAGGGTGTAACAGCTAGGGATGGGCAGTAGGAATTGTTGTTTTTATTTCTTGCTCACACTGATTTTTGCTCACTTTTTCCTAGTTGCTTATGAGATGCTTTGTGTTAGTTTTGATTTTAGGATCTTCAGAGCGCTGCTGGGTACTCTCAACCTGCATAGTGAAAGGAGCTCTTTGTTAGGTGCTGTTCCAGAACACATGGAGTGAATAACTGCTTGGGGCACTTGGTGCCATTGTAGTGAAAATAACATCAGTGACCACTTTCAAGCATGAATAAATCATGTGAGGCTCCAAATAAGCATGAGATTGGCTTAAAAGCATTTATTTTTGGCAGATAAATACTGGGGTTGTTTTATTATGACAGAACCCTGAATGTTCAAATTCCAGAAGTATTTCAAGCTTTTCTTCACAGCCATAATGGTTTATCATATTTTTTTATGAAAGGGGAAATTTTTAAATAAGTGAGATTTAGGCTCTAAACTAGTTTGAGTGGAAGAGTAGTCTGAGAAATTATGGGGGCAGTGAATGTTACGTGACCCAGCATTTGCCTTTTCTTAGGGCAAATGGCTTCTTTGATGGACTGTCAGCAAACCAGTGACATTTTATACAAAGTGCTTGGGGAATAGCTCCTATGCAAACATGGGTAACAGCCCAGAGTTCCAGGTTTCTGTCCTCTGCTTCCATGACACTTGGCTAAAGTGCGAGAGCATATGTGTTTCAAGCTCATGGAACTGGAACCCAAATGGTTTGTAACATTGGGGCTGCAATATTACAAACTGCAGAGTGGAGATCAGTGCATTATAAATATAGGCAGTCCTCGACTTACGACGTTTCAACTTATAGCAATTTGCACTTGCGGCGCTTCACCATTTACGCCCATGTTTTTACTTACGGCGCTGGATCCTTGCACGTACGGCACTACAGGGAATTTTACAATGAGAAAAAGAGGGCAGCAAAACAAACATCCCTGAATCAGTTTATCAAAAAGCCATCAAGTGGCCCTAAGTCTCCCCAAAATCTCCCCAAAGAAGCCCCTCTGAATTCCATGACCCTGATGAAGGTGTTTTTTCACCTTCTGATTTAAATACAATGTTATATCATTAGTTACTGTATTGCCCTGTTTAATCAATTTATATACAGTACACTTTAGAAAGCTTTGTACTGTACAGTGTATATCATTTATAGTTGATTAAATAGTGGGTTTAAATATGGTGTTTATGGTCATTTCTATAAAAAGTTGGGCATCAGATTCAACTTGCATCGTTTTGACTTACAGTGCCTTTTGCAGGAACATAATCCGCTGTAAGTGCGAGGACTGCCTGTAGCGTGCAAAACACCTTAAAAGTAGAAGATATAAAAAGATCAGGAGAAAACTGGACAGAAAAAGGCTGGAGAGAAAAATTTAGTTTAAAAGATGGTACCAGAACTAGAAAAAACTTAGGAGCTCCTGAATTATGTCAAGAATTGTTATGGTTTTTGCTTAAACTTTATTATCTTGCTTTCCAATTGATGGAAACTGTTGTTACTAAACTGCTTGGAGTCTCACTCTTCAATACTGTCTAGTGACCTGGTTTTGTTTGGAAATTTTCTTCTTTTTTGTGCTAGGAAGGTAATATTTAAATGTATATAATTAAGCCATAATGGTTTCCACAAGATTTATGGAAAGCTTTCTTGAGATGCAACTGCATCTCCTTCAGTATATGAATGATGGCTAATGGTGATCATTAATGTATGTGTGTATGTATCCACTAACTTGATCATTTTTGTTTGTAGGAGAGGTCTGCTCACAATTTACATGGCCAATTTGGTGAGTAATCTTTTCTTCCAAAAATAAATTTTATGAGCATGGGAAAACATCTTTTGTTAATTAGTTTATATTTTAGGTTTATTACTTTTAAACAGTACAATATTTTCTCTACACTTTCAGATAACGAAGTTATTTTAATGATACAAGTTTGATAATGCCTCCGTAAAAGCAAATATTTTCACAGTGAAGACTAAAATTACCCATAGTATTATTATTAGGTTCTCTTCCATTACACCCTCAAAAGTGCAATTTTGTATGTTGCATGATCAGTAGAGCAGTACCTACAACTTTTTTTTTTTTGTGTGTGGATCGGAGTCCAGTCCTACAAAGCCATTTGCATTTAATTTATATTTAAAGTCTGTATTGATTTGTATGTAATACTGTATAACATTTCATTAAAATCAGTGGTATGAACATTCAATTTATTAGTGATTTGTACAATTAATTTTGCTTTCAATATATAATATTTTAGTGTCACGTAACTGTTCAGAATTATTATTCTACAAGAATTATATGGTCCTTTTTGTGTTTTGTCATTTTGCTTTGGTAAAGAAACATAATAAAAAGTACAAAAAAGGAGATTGATTTCTGTATGTTCTGTTATAGCAGTACTCTTCACAGTAGAGACATGTGGTTTCATGCCTTCTCAAAGACGCACAAATTAAGACAATACTACACAGATATAATGCATTAGGATATGAATAACAGAAATAAAATAATATATATGTATGAATAGGAAAGAAGAGGTGGAGCTGACGGTCTTGCTGCCGTCTTTAAACAGTTTCAACAGCTTTTTATCCAAACATATTTAGAGGCAGGGTCCAAATATCTTTGAATTCATGCCACTCATATTTACAGTCGGAAGAATACAGTGGTATTCTTTGGTAGCTAACTCAGATAGGTCTGAAGTCTGCTGCTTTAGGCAAGGCATGTATGCTCTTTTTTCAGTCTTTGTAAAATCATGTGCTTGGTCATGATGACAGCCTTTAGAAAATAAATAGTTTCTGGTGGAGTTAATCTAGTTGAGCAGTTACGTATCATAGAAGCTCCCCCAAAACAATGGCATTTTTCTCCTTCAAAATCCTATCGTGAAAATTCCCCTCTGTTCTGATGTGTACAAAATCTTAGCAGCGCAGTCCTTAGGTTGCTGGTGTTTTGACACTGCTGCCTGTGTGATTGACCCGGATTGTTACCTTGTTTCCTTCTACTTCTCCCTCTGGCTATTAGCTCTTGTCCTTATTTTCCAATTTAAAACATTTAACATCAGATTATAATTTCTTTGTGGCAGAGGCATTTTTATTCTGTGTTTGTGCAGCGTCTATCACAGTCAGGTCCTGGTCAGTGTCTAAAGCTTCTGGGTACTCTAACACGAATAATTTTCAGCATTGATTTCGCTGTAGGCAACATTATATTTAACTTTTCTTTCCACAGCGTCCTGCCTGTTGGAGCCTCATATCATAGGGTGGCTTTTTATGTCAGATTTATTTTTCAATTTAAATAGTGGACGTTAACATTTTTACAACAGGATTTATAATGGAATGTTATAATAGATTTATAATAGAATGCTAACTGAACAAGCTAACAAAGCTTTGGCTTCCTAACAGGGTCAACTTAATTTTGGTAGGCTTGACACATTTCTCCTTTAATTGAATAAAACCACCGTGCTCCAACACCCTGTATAGGAAGTGTATGTTAGAAGAATGGTGGTAATTAATTTAATGTGTCGTCATCTATTTGGAAAGAGCTTTTCAGGAAAGGAGTTTAATAAGAATTTGCTTAAAAACTAGGTTTTGGAATAAACCCAGACTCTGACAGGGAGTTAACTGTTTTTGTGAATGATTGGATTAGAGAAAACAAACCGGATCTGGGTCAAACATTTGTAAATATTAAGCTCTGTACCATGTAAGTATGACAAGGATACAGGAGAGAAATAAATTACTTGAAAGTATTTAATGGAAGTTTCTTTTTGAGCTATGAACTCTCTCTCTAATGAGATACTTTAGGAATAAGAATTTTAATTGCATACTTAGATGTACTTACATGAAGTGTGAAATCAGAATAATAGGGGGCTTGCTTGATGTACTTAGCTTGACCATGACACTTTTTGTGAATTGGTAGGATGTCCTGTCACTATAAATTAATGTACCTTTGCTTTTCTGACTTTGCTAAGACTATATATGCTTGAGTTTTTCTGATAATAAATTTAAATCCCACTAGTGTATATCTATATTAAATTTGCCCTTGGAATATAGAGAACTGTCTTATTTAGGAGGCTCATCAAGTTTTAATGTTTAGTGACAGCAGTTTCTTTTTAAACAGCACATAATGTAGCTTCTCTGATTTACTAAACAATGAAAATGTTTACCAGAAGTAAAATATTTAAGTATATGGAGCTCTTGTACACTTTGTAGGACTGTCACCTAGGATTTAGGGAAGTGTTTTAGAAAGTCTTCCCTTTCTATTTCTTTTACACTTTGCTAATATTATTTTGGGACCTTGACTTTCAGGAAATATACATTTTAGAAGAAGCAGTATTAGAAGCAATATAGGTGTTTAATTTTTTACCAGAAGTCAAACTTGATAAAATGCCAAGCTAACAAAACTATGCAGTTTTTGGTATTCAAGGGCTTTCAGCATCGTGCAGTTTAGGTATACATATAGCTTTATCAGAGAGAGATATCTGTGTATGCACCTTCATTACGTCCAGTTTGACATGATATATAGCTATTGCTAGGTATTATAACCTGCTACCTTGCCTATTTTGCAGTATGTTCTGATACAACAATCTGTGAATTGTCGTTGTTTACCTATTCTGAAATCCAAGAAGATTTCTATTGTTTGAGACAGAGGTATGACTGTTTCCCTTCTCCCACAATACATTGTCCATGGTAGCCTGGTTGGCAGAACTGGGCCACCAGTGATCAGCCAAGAAACTGTTTCACCAAAATGGACCTATTTAGCTTCTCCTCTGGTACTGGGTAATGTTTCATGGTTAAGGGAGTGAAATACCACAAATTATTAATGAATAAGAGGTAAGAAGAGATTTCCTGGTGCTCTCATATGCCTGCTCTAGGAAATACCTGGACAAAGATCCCACTAGCTCAGTGACTACAGATACTTGTAAACCTAAACTCTCACTAGCTGCACCTTTATATTAATAAGAATAAATTGGCAGTGTGAAAAAATAATTGATAGCTGCACTGGGCAGGAGAATGTACTGAATGTGATCTCAAACTAGATAGATGACTACTACAGCCAAGGTAATGGCCAAGATCAGGAGCTATATAAAATATATATATTTCCACTGCTAGGCTTTTAGCTGTGAATTAGGTATTGGAATGAATATAAAGGGAAAGGTTCTTTGTGGAGTTTTATTTTTGATGTGCAGGATTTAAAATCGACCTGTGACCTCACTGGAAGCTAGCACAAAGATTTCAGAAGTAAACTAATATGACCAGATACAAAGTTGTCAAGAATGTAGACTTGGAAACCTTGAACCTGTTGCAATCTGTGAATCAAAGTTTCTGTAGTGCCAAGGAAGAGTAGTAAGTCCTGAAGGCCACATAGACACGCACAAGCCTTTCCAGTTCTATTTTAGATTGCACATGTTGAAGTCAAGACATTTCTAAGATGGTAAATGATGCATTGGCAATAAATAAATTATATATATCTCTTTCACAGATAATTTAGGATCAAAAGGAACCCCAAGATTCCATCAAGAGGTGGGAAGTGAAATGTAATCACTAAAGTTATTTTTGTCTGAAAAGGTAGAAGATACTTAATAAGCAAAGACCAATAAATAAGACATGGTTCTTGGATTTCAAAAGATTGTCATTGTAATGTATTGTGAAGTAGGAAAACATTCAGTATTTTAGTAGTAGTCTTTGCTTTTAAGTAAAAGAAAATATGTCTTTACATTAATTTTAGGTTGTGAAAGGGAAGAAATATTTGGCACTTGCAAGAGGGATGATCTACATTAAAGAAAGCCAATGTCAAGATAGCAAACAACTAATCTAGTTGAGCCCCATTTGATATCATGGCTGTTGGAAAAATATGCACTTTCTGGAAGACATACAGGCACTACTTATTAAAACGTTAACCGAAAGAAGCAAGTTGCATAGCACCTGCTGTTATAGCAACTGAACTGTAAACTGCATAAATTAATCAACTTTGACCTTATTGTATAAATCTTGTCCAATCTTTCCATTTTTTTCTGATATCTGTCCAAGTGTTGTCTGATTTTTAGACTATAAATGCTTGAGGGAAAGACATACCATTGATTTGTGGACATACCACATATTTGAAAAACTGTGTGCTTCTACCATATGGTCCTGTATGTATGTGTTTTTTCAATACAATTATTAAATCAGTTTTTCTTAAGTCACTCTTGAGGGTCATAGGTTAGATATCTAATGCCTTGTGTTAGGACAGCCAGACTAATAGAACACGCAGTCTGATAATGCAGTTATACAGAAGTCTTTCCTCACTTACTTCACTCAGATTGAAGGGAGAAAGTGCTGTTTATTCTGGTCTCCTATTAATGAAGCCTGGAATTAGAGAATGGGAACCAATTAGTACAGCATTAAAAAGAGAAAGGAGAGTGGTAGGAAAATGGGTGTTGATATATAGGCGTGAGATGAGAATGAAAAGTTGAAATTTCATGTGATAAAGGATAGAAATCATGTTTGAAATGTGGTGATATAGCAGAAGAATTTGGTGAATTTATTGGTGAAATCTTGGCTAGCTGAAGGAAGAAAAATGACAAGTGGGAGAGAGAGGAATGTATTATAGCTAAGACAGAGAATAGCAGAAAAGACTGCTGGAACTAGAGGAAAAGATGAATTTTGGTGAATTTAAAGTAGAAGAGCAGAGATTTATTAACAAAAAACATGGAAGGACAGGATTTACTAAACTGATAATGAAGTAGTGAATCTAGAAGATGTAAATGATGAAAGGTGGAGAATAATTAGAAGGAAATATGGATAATTCAAGCTTCCTTC